ACTTCTTGAATTCAAGCATTTTTTGAGAAAACTGCCAACATTTCCCCATCCATGGTTCACTTTCTAAAAAGGCCATTTATTTCTGTCTAGAATGAAGTAAAAACGAGCGTTCTTGCTCATTTTGCTTCCGAGAAACATGCAAAACGGTACGGAAAACATGAAATTTTGCAATAATCTTACGTCACCTTTGCACAAAACGACGATAATTTTTCTAATTTCATAGACAACAGAAGACTGTATTTTGTCTACATAATCCCATTTAAGCTGGATCCGCCCCTGAATGGATGATGATCCATTGACCGCAATTCATTTTTGATCCTAACGTATCTAGACAGGTACTTGAAACATGTTTTGATGAAAATATGATACACACTACTAAACCATTTTTAAGGAAATGTTCAATGAGCCATACGATCACAACGAAATGAAAAACAGGCATTCACCGGCTTACGGGATTAACATTTATTGACCAGAGAAATAGGAAAAAATAAGGAAACTACTAATTAAATCAATTAGAATGAAGAGCAAAAACGCAGTCGTTAAAGTGGGGAGAACTTTCCCCAACTCGACTTCCACCAGCAAAACAAACAGGTGAGTGAAAATTTCCCAACTTCCTCCAAGAGTACCTGGAGTGGATCTGCTTGCCCTTCAATGATGAAGGCCAACCCATTTACTTAAATAGATTAGAACAAAATCAATCTCCTAATGGGTGGAAGTGACGTGGATAACCCAACAAGAAGTAGGTATTGAGGGGTCCAAACAAGACTGATGTAACAGTGAAAAGCCCCGAAGGGGCTATAGCCTAAGCATATTGAGTGCGATTGACTGTGATTAAACTTTGAACTGCCCTCAAGCTAGTTGTGAAATTACTGAAAATCCATTCTGGAGGAATTCTCTTAGGAGTTGTTGAAATGTGTGGCAGGCCAGAAAATTCGATTTCTGATGTCCCTATTATAGACATGGCTGGCAGGAGCTGATTCACCACTTTATTTAGACTTGAGGCAGGCCATCAATATGACAGTGCTTCTGGGTGCAGTGACTGAACTGCCAGTTCGTCACAGGGGACTAGACTTCTACTACTAGGAGTCTAGAATCTAGAATGGGCCGTACCTGTTTGGACATGAATGTATCATCAGCTTCCAGGAACCCTCTACGTTCTCCACGGTCCATTTCATCTGGCGGTTCTTCGCCACTTGGAATGTCACTTGAACTAGAGTTTTTCGCGAATATCTTTGAAATTGCACTCCACATTCAGGCAATATTTGCACAAAAATACGAGTCTGCCCTTCAACAGTATCATTGCCCAGCCAACCTACGCAAGCCCGCTGGTCGGCTTCTCATCCGATTCTCGCACCGTAAAACAATCAGCACGGCTCGTTAATATGCTGCCAAATCACCAAATCGATTTACCGCACATTTTCACGCATAAATCCAACACATTTTGCCCTTTTTTCACACTTTGACAAATTATTGCAGGACTTGTCATCATAAGGTTGAAAGTTGAATTTACTTGGGGCGACTGTGGCGCTCCACAGACAACCGGCGGCAGCTCAGCAAAACCACGCCTGCCACCGAAACAGCGAATACTTGTGTTATGGCAAGAAGCCCAGAATACGTTCGAATGATTTACGGAAAAACAGCCCCAGGCCTCAAATGGAGCTGGAAATATTATTAGCAAGGTTTTTCTTGTTCAAAGTCGCAATTTCGGTGTCAAGGGCTAGAGTTTCATTGGTTGTTGCGACGGAATGAGGATTTACGTCAACGGGCTTTGTGGCGGGATTTTCAAAAAAGTTTGGATCACGATTTTCATCCAATGCAAATGGATTGTTGGATTAAGAAATAGTAAACGAGAAGGATTTTTTATTCGGAATTAATTGGCGATTTTCGGGTTGTTATACCGTCGTCGATGGGAAATGGATTCAGACATAGCTGGCATCTTCAGAGAACGCATGGATAAAGAACAGTTTACGCGTAAACACGTTTAGAAATTTGCACATATATTTACAAAACATACACTTTCATGGCAACAAATACAGACTTATATGAGTGAAATCTAAGCAACTACAAGCCCAGAAACGTAGAAAATGCAGCTTCAAGCTCTTGATCGCAGATTAAACTCGATCGAATTTCCATCAGCCAATGGCACTTATTGTCCAAATCAGTCGAAAATAACAAAAAAGCGCCCTGCGCCCAATTAAGTAAATTTTGAAACGTAGTTATCGGCATCCGCAGGTTTTCACCACCATTTGCTTGTACTTCTTCAGCACGACGTTGTAGTCGTCCAGAAAGTACAAAACGGAAATGGGGGACAATCTGGTTGGGGCGCAGCAAGATTTGGGGAATTTGGTCGGATTCATCAAATGGACCAACGTTTGCACGATGGCATGATTCGAGGCGTTCATGTGGGCATTAACTGGAAAATTGCACTCGCCGTGACAAAAGTATGCGGCGTATCCTTCGGGCGCGATAATCCAGTCCTGGAAAACCAGCAACTTGAACCCTGATTTGAAGAGTTTCTTCGCATTTTCCTTACCTGCCACTTCAGGTCCTTGAAGTTGATGTAGAGCGTTTTGATTTGGCAGGAGCTTCGCGACTCTGGCTCATACGCTATCCACCCCAAAAAAAAATTGACCTCTATTGAAAATACTCATGGACTTTTGCGGATATTTTTACTTTTATGCAAGCCGAAAATGCCGGCAGCTTCAGACTTTCTCACCCTCGAACGCACATCCCTTCTGGTTCTGGGCTTGAAAGAAGTGGAAGCTTTCAAAAACGCCACCATAAACGGATGAGTGGCCTCGTCGCCCCGCACCGTGATCAGCCCGATGTCTTCAGGCCGAATTTCATGTGCTAAACAAAGTCACCAACTTACAAACTATTTGGGCAAAAACACGCAAATATCGGCAATGAATATTTAGCCCCGAAGAGACCACCTGCGATTAATAAATTTAACACAAGCCGCCATCGGAATTTGCATGACATGAATTAAACAACGACCATCCAAGCATTTCACTGTTCATAGCAATAATAAATAACAGTAGTTAAGTAAACAATAGAAGCATATGGCTAATTGTTCGCATAAACATACAGATTATTTAATATAGAGGATGTTCGAAGAACGAGCGCGCCCAATTCCAGGCGTTGATGGTCACAAGGAAAATAATAAATAACGGAGTTGTATGCGGTTAGTGCAAAAAAATGCGGAAAATTGTTTAAACTACTACATACTTTGCAATCTAAGCGCTTGAGTTAGGCTTTGGAGCGATTTTTTCGGATTTTCGGCGGTCTAAAGGCCGAGAATACTTACTTTTATTGGATGGGTGAACCGACATGTAAATCCCTCTGTTTGATCCAGGAAACGCCACCCAACTGGCCAAACACTTGGTCACGTTGATTCCTATCCAGCCTGAAAAGTCCGCTGCTGTTTCCACCTCTGATATGTATTCCAGCTCGTTTTCTCTGCAGAAAAATGCAAATTCAGGAAAAAATCTGGATTAAAATCAATCGAGTTTCATACCCTTCCTCATCATCGATCAACTGATAGGCCGTAACCGTGTAGTTTTTATTGCTGTGCTTGGAAAGCGACTGGTTCTGATATATCCGCAGTTCTGCGCCCACAATGTCTTCAGCCACTGGTAGCTCAGAAACGTCGAACCAGAGCCGCTTGCCTCTCTCATGCCGCACACTGTCCACATGATGGTCTACAAGGCATCCTCAATTTTGCTTTTCTGAGCCAGTTGCGATTACTTACTGATGCTTTCAAAGGTCATAATCACATCGCTCTGATCGATTTTCTGCTGCTCCTCTCCGCTCAGGTTCAGATCGGACTCTCGTTTCAGTCTCCTGTGGTCCTCCTCGTCTTCGTCTAAAAGCGTCCGGTAGATATCCAGCAGGAATTTGGGCGCTGATTTTGTCACGGTGGCTTTGTTTAGTTTTCTTGGGCGGTTCGGAAGGCCTGAATTTCATAAAATTAAAGCCAACTAAGAAAAATTGCTGGGGAGGATCAAGGGAGGTGCAACGGGTAGAGGAAGGGTTTTTTAGTTTCATACGTTCACCAGCACGTTGTACGGTTATTACGAAAATCATTTTTGTTGTCAGACCATTTTTGGAAATTTTTGCGAGGCACAAAAATGTCTTAAAACAATTAAGGTGTTTCTTCTGAAAGAGGCATTTGTTTACGCGTTCAGACCTATAATAGGCGGTTAAAATAATGTCCCTTTCTTTTTTTGGGCTTTTTTGCCCCTGGCAAAAGTGTCCTTTACAAAAAAGTTAAGAGTTTGGATGCAAAAAAAGTTTTTGTAATAAACGTGCTGCGGTCGTTTTTGAAAGGTTACGCTGAATAAAATCGGTTTTTTTCGAAAATCGAGAGTTTGTCGGTGTTTTGATGAAACATCAAAGGAATTCGACTCGGTCTGGACGCACCATTAGAAAAGTTTTTGTGGGAAACCGCTTACAAAATATATTCAAGTTTCCTAAAATAATTTGAATGAAAAACTTGGTCAAACTTCAACTTTGCGGTCACTTTTCTCATTTTTCCTGGCAGTTCAATCCTTTTTCCTGGCGATTCGATCAAAATTAAGTTGAATTCAGTGAATTGACGAATGTTATCGGAACACTCTCTGCATATTAAAAAAAAATCGCAAACAAGAGCAACATAGTTACTTAAAATTAGCGGTTTCTGCAAAACCTTGAACGGTATTACCATATACAGGGTGAATCATCCGTTAACCCGTAAAAGGAAAAAGTTATAAAACTTTCGCAGTTTTTCAGATATTGGCGGAAAATTTCAAGTGTATACAGTTAGATTAATGAAAAATTGATTTTTTAACAACAGATCCCAAACGTATGGGATCACTCACATGTCATCTAATATGATCTTTTCATGCATTCATTTGTTCTTGGCCAGATAACGGCAAAAGGGTGAGAGATACAGAAAAATGCATCAGACAAGAAAGTTTCTAAATTGAATATGCGTGTAGAAAAAAGTGTCGTAAACATTCAGTGGTCCCCGATAAAAAAGTTCCGCGGCAGAAAAGGAGAAACGGCCCCGAAAAAGGATCACCCTGTATATTATTTAAACCGTTTGACGCTTCAGCCTTGGATACCCTAAAGCGTAATTTGCATTTCGAATTTGAGGCACATATCTGAAAAACTGGAAAAGTTAGAGCAAAAAAGCAAAAAAAAATCGCGGTATCTCGGACACTAAACATCTGCGAGCATAAGTTTACATGAACTTTTCTGCTTATTTTTTGGTGTTCTATTATCGCGATTAAAAATTGAATCACCAAACGAAGGAAATTCGAGTAGTTTTGACTCAGAAAGCGAAATTTGAATATCAGACACTTAAGTGCAAGATTATGCCAAAATTCCATGTTTTCCGTCTCGTTTTTGCTCATTTCTCGGAGGCAAAATGAGCAAGAACGCTCATTTGTACATCATTCT